ACCTAATGGTTTAAGCATTATGTATAAATCAACACTTGCACTTTTGACTGGGGATTTCATTCTAGAATGTTGGTGGAAAACAGATCAGTGAGTTAGAGAGCATGTCATTAGAAGTGTATGGAGGATGGCGTCTCTCTGACTTTGAAGAGGTTGGCAGGTAGTGTCATTGAATGTAACATTGGGGTTATGTTTAGAAAATGGAAGAAGTAAAGATAGGTAGTTGGAGCAGTTGAGTAAAAAGAGTACTTATTTTTGAACAATTAGTTAATTTTTTTATTGAACTTTTGCAACTTCACACAACAGTTCTTAATCAAATTCAGACCCCCTTCCCCATCCACGCCTCCCCTACACCCCCACTGAACCTCATGTATTCCACTGTACATGTAAAGTCCTGTTCATTCAGACGTTTGCACCCACGTGTTCTTCAGAGCAAATGGGACACTGGAGTCCAGTCAGCCGATCTAGTGATCATATATTAAATCATGCTCTCCCTCACCCAACAGGAATCAATCTTGAATATTTCTCAGTCTATTGTTGGCCTGCCATCCATTTCTCTCCTCCCCTCTGGGCCCCCACTCAACTGAGTTGACTTGGGTCTCATGCTCTATGCCACAAGTTCACATGTACAAGCTTCCAGTGGCCTGGAAGCCTCAGCTTCCCTGTGTTCATGCACGAGCTCTGGCTCTTACAATCTGTCCACTCGGTCTTCCACAATGGTCCTTGAGCCGTGGATGGATGAGGTTCCGCATAGGAGTCCCATCTTACACTCTACAGTCTCTTATTTTTTAAAACTTGGGTAGTTATGGCCTTCTGTGTGCATCATACTTGGTGAGAGTTGAGAGATGTGCCAATTTTCTCTCCACCTTTTATTCCACTATGTCCCATGAGCCTTGGTTGTAGAGGTTCAACTGTAGATGTACTGGGAATCTCTCAGATGCATGTTCTGTGTCTGACCGGATGTAGAATTCCGCAATAGCCTCCATATGTTGCAAAAAGAAGCTTCTTTGATGAGTGTTGTAAGGTATGTTTGTCTGTAAATATAAGGATAGATATTTAGCATATAGTAAGAAGCTTCATTTGTCTTCAGGTAGGAAAGAGATAGGGTTTTCTCTAGGATCTATGTCCTCTCCTGCCATGTGTATTTGGCTGAGTTTACAGTGCCACCCACCCATGAGCTCCCTCTTATTGAGAGGGCTTCAAGTCCAATTAGATGGCTGTTGATTGCCCCCTTAAGATAAAAGTGCCGTTTCTGCACCATAGAGGTAGTTTGCCATACCAGTCATTATGGTTATTAGGCTTTAGGGCTGGGTTGGACCATTGATTGTTTTTCTCCCTTGGCAGTTTGCAATCATCATCTAGCATTATGATAGCAGAACTTCAGTTAGAAGGCTATCAGGTCAGTTCCTGCTTCATTGTTTTAAGTCCTGTACCCTAAGTATGTCCTGTCCTCTACAGTAGAATTTTATCTACTAGTTCTGGGAGATAACCAAGAAGTTTAGCAGTATCCTGTGTTAGTTTGGGAGTCTCCTGGACCACTTTCACCATCCGCTCTAAGGGCGGTCTCTTCTGTCTGACACTGTGTTCCCTGCCAAGCAACTCCCAGGTATACATATGCATTAATATTCAGATACTGTATGTGCTTTTATCATAGGGTTTCTAGGGCATCACTTTTCCTTCTAGGTTTCTTAGCCCCCCCAAGATTCATTCATTTCTACTCTTCTTTCTCCCATCCGGCCTCCCTCCCTTCCTTGTCACAGTGCTCCCATTATCTCCACCCCCCCCAGTACCACTCACCTCCCACCATCCTCCCTCTCCTGACTTCCCTCCCCCCCCACACCATGGCTCCTTGCATGTCCCTCCCTCCTCTGCTCCCTGCCTAGTACTCCATCTTTTCCCACCTCCCCCTGGTCCTGATCTGGAGAGTGGGAAGTTGGTGGCGGGGTGGACCACCTGGGGAAGGACTTAAGGATCAGAGTCCTGGCTGAGCAGGCCTCTAAAAGAGCACTTTTGAAGACTGACTGTGAGCTTTCTAGTGGGACTCTAATAAGTGGGAAATTCATTAGTGGACACTAGTTTATATTAGGAAGAACATGGTTTTATAAATAGTCAAGTAAATGAATATTAGTATCATTTGGACTATCAGTACTCAGTGAGTGAAACAATTAACCTAGGATATTTAAATAATAGAAATAGTTTGGAAAAAAAATTCATAGAAACAAGATCAAGCCAAGTTAGACTAACTATATAAAATATAACAGGAAATGATGAAAATGGGAATTAAGATCATAACCTTTCATTAAGTTTCAACCGTGGACAGGAAAGCATGCCTGTTCATATTTAAAGAAATGGAAATTAATTTTGACTTTCCCATGTGATTTTTGTTTGGTGATTTTTTTTTATACTAAGTTGTTACTCATCGTGGGTTTGATGTTGTAAGAGTCAATGGAATCAGTAAAATAAAGAAACTCTCATGCTCTAGAATTTGTGATCTAGGTATCAGAATGTGCCAACCTTTTACAAATATATAAATTATCTAGGAAATAACTTTATCTCTAAGACTGAATTAATCCCAATCTAAGACATTTTCTTAATAGTGCCCATGATTTAAAACAAGAAAACTACATGTCATACATTTTTGAGAATAATTTCAAAGCAAATTAACATCTTTTGATTGCCACAATTCAAAAAAGCTTAAAAATATTATATCAGGTTTAGAATTAAACTAATAAACCGATTGTAGAGAACTGTCTTTACATTTTTTCTGTTTGGCTGATGAGGTTTTCTATTTTAGAGATTTATTTCTGAGTAACAACATATTCCTTAAATAGCATACAACTGTGACTTTGGACGTACATATTAGAGCAGCCTTGTCAGGTGGCCTCTTCATTTCTTCTCCATATTTCCCGCCAATACTCATTCTACTCATAAACTTTGCAGCCTGTCTTTCTAGTGAATATTTCTCTGCATCTTTGAGACTTTATTCGATTTTTCTGTTTTTCAGTCATGATTAATTTTGTTCATCACTTTGTTTCTTTCTTTGAATGTCTGTGGGAAAAGGTTACTGTCCTGTCCTTAAGGTAATCACATTGTTATTAATGAATTGCTTTATATGTAGTTTGTGCCTACTCTCTGCTTTGATGATAAAATCTGTGTCTCATTCATATTGATGCCTAACATAGTGCCTCACACAAAGTAACTGCTAACCATGTTTTGTCGAATTTTGCTGGGTATTGATTTCATACATTATCTTCAAATTAAAGAGTAGAAAAGGCATCGTGCTTGTCTGCAGGCACTATCTAAAGGCATATATTGTTCTCCATTTGAAAAACTATAATAGAAGAGAGAAGAAAGCTTAGTGAATAACTTATTTTAATAAATGGATCACATATCACCAATAAGCATGTGAGAAGATATACCATCTTACTCATGGCCAGAGAAGCAAACCAAAATGATAAAACCTGTCAATTTAGACTTGAATAAATTAAGAAAATTAGTAATATTAAGATCTTCATGAGCCAAAGGAACTGTCACATGGTATTGCTGTGATTCAAAGTAATAATTTAAATTTTGAATGGCAATCATTTAGAAGCAATAATCACTAAAAGAGTAGTGAACTCATTTGACTTAATGGTTACAATAGTTAACAATCAGAAATAAAATTTCCATAATGGGAAAATATATCCTTAAGGATAGCTAAAGAAACAGAAAAGCAAGATAATCTGAGAATTAATTCAGAGAAGAATAGCTGAGTAACTGTAGCATATCTATATGATGTAGCTATAAAGTAGAGTGATATAAACTATTTTTACTAACATAGTAAGTCAATATAACATGATACATATGAACAAATATTTTTTATGTGAAAATAAAAACATGGTAATACAACACATAAAAACTATTATAATATGGCAAGCTCATAAGAATGGAACAGAGTTTAAAAACCAACCCAGCTAATACTGAGAGTAAAAACAGCCCGTCACAACAGTGTCAAAGCTGGGAGGAATGAACTCTCCATGCTATGGTTTTGCTTACTGATGGCTCCTTGGACAACAGAGATGCTACACCTCGGCCCATAGATCTATGAGCTACTATTAACCTAGTAGCAGCTCCCAAGAGTTAGGAAGACAGAAGTAGGTCCTCAGTGAAAGTTCATTTCTCTCTCTTCTTTTCACTTTGTTCTCAGTTTTATAACAAATTACCCAAGATAAACTGTGACCTCTATGAATTTGTTTAGTGCAGGTATTTTTCTGCCTTATTCATAAATATACCGTGTTCTTGCAGAGGATCAGAGTTCAGTTCCCAACACCCATGTCAGCTCACAACATGAACACCTGCACTCATGTACATACACATACCTACACACAGACACACATGTATACATGCAGCTAAAAACTACACTAAACTAAATAACTGAGCAAAAAAAAATTAAAAGAGCTTTCCTTTGACTTATAGTTTCAGCAGATTTGGTCTATCATGGAATGCTCACTGCATGGCAGCCTGGAAGCAGACAGAATCCTTGCACTAACATTCGTTCTCCTTTTCTACCTTTATTCTACCTAGACCCTCCACCTATGGGGTTATGACATGCACAATCATGATATACTTTTACCTATGCCTAATCTTCTCATGAGTCACATTTGCGGAGGCATCCAGATGTGTACCTTTTGGGTGCTTCCCAGTCCAAAGAAGTTGACAGTCAAGGTGAACCATCATAAGAGCTATTAAAATAGGCCCAATCCAATTGTAATTGCAAACATCTTATTAACACTTAACTGAATTACTAAATAAACTTGAAAGCAACTGAAGCTAATTTATTGAAGTATTCTGAAATTTGCTATTTGCATTGTTTCAGAATAAGTGACATTTTTATCATGTTAACCCAATAAATTACTGTATATGAGTGTTACTTATTTTCAGTGTAGTTATCCTAAAAAATATGTTGGTAGTATTTAATTTAAAAGTCAAATTTATAGACATTACCTTTTCTTTGTCTCTCTTAGGGATAAATCATCATTAAAAGCTGTTAATGCAACTGAAGCATCATTAGAACTTTCAGACTTGGACTATAATATTGAATATAGTGCCTATGTAACAGCCAGCACCAGATTTGGTGACGGGAAGATGAGAAGCAGGATCGTTAACTTCCGAACACCAGAGGGAGGTGAGTTCTCAGGGATGTAAGTCAATTTAAAGACTATCCTGCTCAGAAAAATATCATATATCTAAATATATTATTATGCCTAATGTCCATCATTAGCTGGATGCAAACTGCATCTAGTCCTAGCAATGTGAAATCTAGGTAATCTGTGTATGACTCAGTTTCCTTTTTGTAAAATGGAAACAACATACTATCACTTTCCTGGGTTCTGATGAGGATTAAGTAAGAAGATGTTTGTGGATGCTCCAAGCAGGGCACTTAATGTGATCAGCATTTTATGTGAAAGAAAGTTAAATATAGCAAAATAAAATACATGATGCATAGACTTTTGTTATTCAGTTTCAAACTGTACATTAAAATAAAAGTACTTGTTAGTGTATTCTGTGTTGGAAATTTGTTATAATGTTGTCTACAAACCCAGACAAGTAGGCTTTTCAAGCCAGAATAGTATTTTATGAGTAGAAACTATGTGTCCTTTGTGGGAATATTGTATGGTAGAGTAGTAGGTGAAAGCTCAGTGTACTGTATCGATTTTATTTCTGACATTTACATGGATATCAATTCTAATTTAAGATTTTTTAAAAAAATAATAATTGCCATTTTAAATGTATCAACTGTAGAAAAATTCAGACACTTAAGACATGACTCATAGTCATAGCTACAATTTTTTTGAATTGTTTGTTCTATAGCACCCAGTGATCCTCCCAAAGATGTCCATTATGTCAATCTCAGCTCTTCATCGATAATTCTCTTTTGGACACCTCCTTTAAAACCTAATGGGCTCATACAATATTATTCTGTTTATTACAGAAATACTTCAGGTACCTTTATGCAGGTAAGAGCTGAGTATTATTTTTATATCTTTAGCTTTGCTGCTAATGTAGATTTGCCATGGTAGAACACATTACTTTCTACTGATAATTGTGCATGGGCGTATTTTCTAAAAGTCCCATTGGTGTGGAAATAGTGGTGGAGAAATGTCAGATACATTTTAATTTCTCTCCCTGCACACATACTGCATCACACATACACATCACATCTCTCTCTCTCTCTCTCACACACACACACACACACACACACACACACACACACACACACCCCATATTAGCTTTATGTGCACTGACAGCCGAGAAGCTGCCCCTCATTTAAATTCTGCATGTTAAGAGAGTCCTCGATTCTATTTCCTCTAATAACTTTTCTTTTTAAAGAACAATGGTTTCTGGGATGGAGAGATAGTTCAACAGTTAAGAGCACTGGCTGCTCTTGAAGAGAATCTGGGTTCAATTCCCAGCACCCTCATGGTGGCTAACAGCCATTCATAACCCCAGTTCCAGGAGATTTGACACCTTTGTCTAACCCCTGTGGGTGCTGTATGACACAGGTGCACTTACACACATGCATGTAATACACTCATATACATAAAATAAAAATAATAAGGAAAATATTTTTTAAAAGAACAATGGTTTTACTTCTCAAATTATTTCTTGGCTAAAACCATGTTTTAATTAGTTTCTATGCAACATGAACAGTTTTAGTGGCTAAATATGCTTGTGTATTTTTCAATTGAAATATTTTTAATTATTAGACATAATGTTTTATTATGATAATGGTATTATTACTTAGTATCAGATATAATAAGAACACTAGGCATGTAGTTGCTAGTTTGCGGATGTAGGTCATGGGATGATTATCAGTTCAAAGACAAGTGTTTTCCGAGATGTTAATGAAGAAGTAATGAAATAGCCAAAATGAATTTAGCTTAAAGAGATGTTTTAAATTTGTCCAACATAATTATATGATTTGCCCAACTAAATTTTTCACAGATTTCCAATATTTGAAAAGGACAAAATGAGAATGGTATGATTCAATCAAAGACAGGGAAGTTGGAATATAACCTGGGCAATACTAATTTAGAAGAAATATTATAATGTACACCATAAGTTCTTTACTGGGAAAAATGACTGTATTTATTTGACTCAAGTGAGTTTTCCGTCTCTTTTATTCTCCTGTTTGTGGGGAAAAAAAGTGAAGATTAGTGAGGCGATGTATTTATTTATCACCACAGAGTTGTTTCTAACTTCACAATATTACATTACACCATTAAAGGTGGTCATTTAACAACATGCATTTAACAAAAGCATTCAAAAATCGTTTGTTTAGTAGGCAATCTTAATGGTTTAGCCTCTATACAATTTACTTGCACTTTGTGCAGTAATACAGTTTGGTTCTTTTGTCTACATCTGAACCACAAATTTTAACCATTTTCAACTCATCTATCTAGCCTCTATACAATTTACTTGCACTTTGTGCAGTAATACAGTTTGGTTCTTTTGTCTACATCTGAACCACAAATTTTAACATGTAACTATGGTTTCAACATGATTTTCTAAACCTACTTATTCAAACCTGGGTATGTAATATGATCCCATTTTCAACTCATCTATCTTAAAACATGTTATCTTTTATTGAGTAATCTTAAGAATGCTTTTAAGTGTAACAGCTGCAAGAGGGCACAGGCTAACGGTGTTAAAATATTTCAGAAGTAGTCTCATGTTTCCTGATTTTCATTTGAGCTTTAATGTACTCCTAAAATTAATGTTAAAATAGCATGCCTTCTCTACCTTGTTTTCTGTTTTGAATTGTTAGAACAAATACTTGGAATCAAAATTAAGTAGCAGATTAGGTGTATAGCTTTTTGCTTGTTCCTTCTCCTCGGTACAGAACTTTCTAGAATGCCCAATACTTAGAATGCTACATTTTCCTCCTATTCCAGACATTTGGTCCATGTCTTAGTATCCTTGAAGAACAGGGATATGTGACATTCATCTTTTCCTAATAGTCCCCATAACAGTGTCATGAATAGGTTTGTATTTTAATGGAAGGAACATGAAATTATTGCCACAGATCAATATTTTCAGTACTTGGCTGTAATTTAGGAGCACTTGAGTACAGACTGCAGCAATTGCTCTGTGTTCCTTGTGGAGTTTAACATTTCTGTGAATATGGCTATCCCATAATCTAGCTTCCTTCACTTGTCACACAGTGTGTTGATTATAGGGAATTACTCTTCCATTATGCAATTTCTACCAACTGTGCCATATAAAATTTTAAAGTGTTAGATTAAGATTGGCTGCTTCATCGAATTTGTAAACTTCAGGCAGGAGAGAGGCCTCAGCTGTTAAGAGCATTGACTACTCTTACAGAAGACTTAGGTTCAGTTCCCAGTACCCACATGGGGGCTCACATATCTGATGACCCCCAGGGATCTGATGACCTCTTCTGGCCTCTGTTGGCATTGCATTCACATGGTGCCCTTACATACATCCAAGCAAAATATTCATACACATAAAATTAAAACACTTCAAAACATCTGCTAATATTTTCTGACTATATTTACATAAACAAAATAGTGTGGTTGTATTAGCTTATTTGACCACAAAGACCTTTTAAGGCAAAAATTGGGTAAATACATGAATAAAGTAATAACCTGGACAGTTTGTATAATTTTGTAAAGTTTTTGCATGTCTATGCACATTTATTTACACATCCAACAAAAATGAATTTGGGAGTAATTAAAACAATTCTTTACTTATTTGTGACATTTAAAGATAAGTAAAATGAATTCTATGGCAAAGTTATTCTATGTGTAAAGTAGATGTATTGGAAAAGCACCCAAACTCATCTATCATATTTTCTGTTACATTGTTAGATGAGTTTAATATGTCTGTTTTCAATAAGTCACTACAAAAATCAAAGCAATCATTTTACTGCACTGGTAAACACTGATCAAAGAACTATAAATTCTTGCTGAATTCAATTTGTTGAAAAATTACAGAATAATTCTAAATATAAACTTAGTCAAATGTGCTATTCTATATTAAATATTTAAGTGAAACAAATTATCATTGCTTTTGTTGTGTGCCAGGCATAGTATTAAGTAATTGTGTGATTCATTGTCATCTAATAAGCCTGAATTTAGAGCTATAAGACTTAAAGTTCTCTGTGTAAATTATAATTTCCTACATTTGTTTTTTTTTTTACCAATCTAAATTTAACTTTACCAATGTAGGATGCTGCACACATCAAAGTATCAGTTCATAGAGACCAGTCATTCCTTAAGAAAAAAGATAAAAGTGTGATTATGAAAAATTCACTTATGCGCATTGACCCTCTTTCTTTGCTATGAATATATACACGCTATTTCTAGTTATGCGGCTAGATTTCATACACTTGTTTTTTTCAGACAATCTCTCCCCCTGTAGCACTGGTTCTCTGCAACTCACTACATTGTTCAGACAGCCCTTAAACCGGTATACTCTTCACCCCATCTCCTAGGTGCTAGGATTACAGATGTGCACTACCATTTCTTGCTAACTATATGTCTGCATTTAAATCTATTTTTTTATTTTAGAAGTAATTTTGTTTGATTATATGTTTTAAAGTTTGGGTCAGAAAAGAAATAATTGCATAAATTCCTTAAATATAAAAGTCTTAAATTTTTCTTTGTATAGTAGAGAATATATCTATTTGCTTTGACTTTGTTCTCCACGACTGTAGGAAAGAGAGGATCGCCTAGAGAGGGAGAGTAGTAACCATGAGTTTGTAGATAGAGGCAAATACTCTCACAATTCTTCCATAATTAATAGCAAGAAGAAAATGAAAAGCTTTTTTTTAATATTCTCAAATTCTTGGAAAATAGTCAATGCTTTGAAAAACACTCAAATGTTTCCTAAGGAAAACTGAGCCAGATCAGCACAGTTGTAGAATTCTCACTTGACCATTTGAACTTTTTTAATGTTTAAAGCTTGAATGTTTTTCTTTTTGGTATTTTATGAATTAATTTGGTAAGAAAACTGTTACTATCTAGTCTACAAGCATATGTCCATGTAATTATTACAATAAAATATTTCATGCTGGTTATACTAAAATTAATATATTAAAATGAGAGACAATCATTGAGCAATAACTACTTTGCAATGTTCATGCTTACTAAACCATTCTGAACTACTAAAAAATATGTTTATTTTTCAGAATTTTACACTCCTTGAAGTAACTCATGAGTTTGACAATATGACCATATCTGCAATAATAGATAAACTGGCAGTATTCACCTACTATACATTTTGGCTAACAGCAAGTACTTCGGTTGGAAATGGGAATCAAAGCAGCAACATAGTTCACGTATACACAGACCAAGACAGTATGTAAATGAAAACACTTCCTAATCTTTAACTGGAACATTTAAAAACCTTATAGTTTTGTTAGGAATTTCCCTATTTGTATATATTGGTAGTAGAATCCATTTTAGATACATTTAGTTACTTATCATAGGAGACAAAATGTATTTGATATAGGTTTAAAACTATTACAATTATAATAGCCTCTTCTAGTCACAGGGCTCCTTATCATACTTTTGTTAAAATTCTATTGTTTTCTTTGATTTTGAAAGATATCACAGCCATCCAAAGATGGGCAAGAAAAATGCTTCCATATGCATGATGAATTTCA